TATTTATTATATATTAATATATATTTATATTTTATATAACAATATATATTTATATTATATATATATATATATTAATATATTACTATATATATTAATATATATATAAATAATTTTTTTTTTTTTTTTGAGATGGAGTCTCGCTGCGTCTCCCAGGCTGGAGTGCAGTGGTGTGATCTCAGCTCACTGCAACCTCCACCTCCCGATATTCAAGCGATTCTTCTGCCTCAGCCTCCCGAGTAGCTGGGACTACAGGTACATGCCACCACACCTGGCAAATTTTTGTATTTTTAGTAGAGATGGGGTTGGCCAGGCTGGTCTCGAACTCCTGACCTCATGATCTGCCCACCTCAGCCTTCCAAAGTGCTGGGATTATATGCGTGAGCCACCACGCCCACTCACATCATATTGATGTTTTAGATACAAGCTGAAAATCAGGTTAAATATTTAAGTTTAAAATTTATTTCCAAAATTAGATAAAGATTCACTAAGTTAACTTTTACATTGACCCTTAAAATGTTATGAATTTTACTTACATATATAAAATTATTTTTCAGATTCTGTTTCCTAAAGCGCCAAAACGACAGGGTGATTTTTTGCATTTTTTAAAAGTGAAGAAGGTGAAAACAGACACAGAAAGTAATGAAGTGAGCAAAAATCATTGCGGATTGTCTAAGGCAAAGGAACCAGATTTTGAGTATATTGAACAGCCAATCACTGAAGAAAAACCATCATGTTCATCAAAGGAAGAAATAGATAATCTTGTGCTTCCAGATTGTTGGAATGAAAAACAAGCATTTATGTTTACAGAACAGTACAAATGGCTTGAAATAAAAGAAGGTAAATTAGGATGTAAGGATTGTTCAACAGTTCGGCATTTAGGATCAAAAGCAGAAAAGCATGTTCATGTGTCCAAGGAATGGATTGCATATTTAGTAACCCCTAATGGCAGTAATAAAACTACTAGACAAGCTTCTCTACGAAAAAAAATTAGGGAACATGATGTTTCTAAAGCTCATGGTAAAATTCAGGATTTGTTAAAGGAATCAGCTAATGATTCAATTTCTAATTTAGTACATAAACAAAACAATAAAAACATTGATGCTACTGTAAAAGTTTTCAATACTGTTTACAGTTTAGTAAAACATAATAGACCTTTATCTGATATTGAGGGGGCAATGGAATTACAGGAAAAAAATGGAGAGGTAAATTGTTTAAATACACGTTACAGTGCAACAAGAATAGCAGAACATATTGCAAAAGAAATGAAAATGAAGATATTTACGAATATTATAGAAGAGAATGCCAAAATCTGTATCATGATTGATGAGGCATCTACAGTTTCAAAGAAAAGCACCCTAGTGATTTATCTCCAGTGCACAATTCAGTCAGCTTCTGCACCTGTTATGTTATTTGTTGCTTTAAAAGAATTGGTGTCAACTACAGCAGAGTATATTTTCAATACATTATTGTCTACTTTAAATGATTGTGGTTTTACAAATGATTATTTGAAAGCAAATCTAATTGCATTTTGTTCTGATGGTGCTAATACAATTCTGGGAAGAAAGTCTGGAGTAACTACAAAATTGTTAGAAAATTTTCCTGAAATCATCATTTGGAACTGTTTAAATCATCGATTGCAATTGTCACTTGATGATTCTATATCTGAAATAAAACAAATTAATCATTTAAAAATATTTCTTGATAAAATTTATTCTATTTATCATCAACCTAATAAAAATCAAACCAAGCTTCTAGGAACTGTAACTAAAGAACTTGAAACTGAAATTATTAAAATTGGTCGGGTTATGGGACCAAAATGGGCAGCATGTAGTTTACAAGCTGCTACTGCTGTATGGCATGCATATCCTGTATTATATGTGCATTTTTCTCATTCTTACTCTGGTTTGGCAAAGAGATTAGCTAACATTAATTTCTTACAAGACCTTGGTTTAATGATTGACATCCTTGAAGAATTTTCAGTACTTTCAACTGCATTACAGTCAAGATCAACTAATATTCAGAAAGCACAAAAATTGATCAAATGTACCATAAGAGCTTTGGAAAACTTAAAAATTCGTACTGGAAAGTACGAATCTCAAATTGAAGATTTAGTCAAGTCAGATAAGTTTAAAGATATTCCATTTAATAAAAACAATAAATTTAATGCTCTTCCTAGGAATATCTTACTAGACAATATAATTCAGCACATGAATCTACGCCTTTTATCTGAGCAAAACCATGATGAAAGTATTTTTAATTACTTTGATTTGCTAGAACCTTCTACATGGCCTTATGAAGAAATAACTTCACCATGGATAGCTGGTGAAAAAAAATTATTTCATTTGTGTGAAATTTTAAAATATGAAGTTGATTTGAATGATTTTCGGGAATTTGTAAACAACAATATAAAATCAAACAATGTTTCAATTCCTCCAACTATACAAAAAGCTAGAAAGATAGTTAGCACCATTGCAATCAATAGTGCTGAAGCTGAAAGAGGTTTCAATTTAATGAACATAATTTGTACAAGGGTGAGAAATAGTTTAACAATAGATCATGTATCAGATTTAATGACAATAAATTTATTGGGGAAGGAATTAGCAGATTGGGATGCAACACCATATGTAAAATCTTGGTCAAATTGCAACCACAGGTTGGCCACAGATACAAGAGTTCGGCAAAAGTCAACAAAAGTCTTCCATGAGAATCAATTGGCTATATGGAACTTACAATAGAATATTGTATGTGTTTTTTATCATCTGTAAATTATGTACTATACATCCTTTATATATATAAAGGGTTTTTTTGTTGTTTTGGAAAACCAGTTAAACTTTTATCAGCATGTTGCTGTTTAAAAGGCGTTTAGCAAGATAACCTTGAAGACTGGTTTTAGGAGCTATAGTTTTTTAGATTGGCCCATGTTTGCTGGAGTTGGTCATAATACATATTCCATGAAGTTCTGTACAGAACAAACACCATTTATAATTTTGTACTGTTTTACTTTAAGTAAGGATGCAAAAAAAAAAAAAAACAACTCAGGTCCTGGAGGTTACATCAAATAAAAGAGAAATGGAATCAAAACTGGAAGCCTTTTGGCTCTTTTCTCATTTCCATATCTGTGCTATCTAGTATGATAGTCACTAGCTACATGTGACTAATCAGCTCAGTAGGACTAAAAGTAAAATTTTAATTTACTTAATTTTACTTAAATGTAAAAACTGAAACAATGTAAAATATTTTTTTGCTTAGCTTTACTGTTTTTCAGGAATACATTTTACTCTGTTACCTTGCATAAGGTTTGGTTTTTGTAGTGTGCCTGTCAAACTTGTGTGTCATTTCCAATATTGAATATAAACACACTGCTGATAGATATGATACTGCTGTCAGCAGATGGATTCAGTGCAAATTATTTTTTCTACGAATTGATGTAACATCATGTTTATCTTAACATTTTATGCAGACAACAGGAATTACAGTGATTCCTGTGTAAATTGTAACTGGCAATTGAAATACTTATTTTAATCATGATTAAATTATTTTTCTAGTTTACACATGAATATGAGCAAATTTTTAAATTTAAAATGAAGGCATACTGAAAAAGAATCAAGTGGAGATGCAGAACCTAGCACAACAACTGGAACAGTAAACAGACTCAAAGAAGGTATGTTGCGGATTTGACAATGGCAATTTGCAGTTTGCTGTGGCAGAGCAAAACAAGCTGTTATTTAAGAAACTATTAAAAGTAAGAAAGTTGAGACTTCAGCAGGTGCAAAATGAATTAGGTAAATTACATTTCTTCTGCCAAAAAGAATCAATGAAATTTAGTCACCTGAAATTAGAATTAACAAAAAATTTTAGAAACAATTTTAGAAGGAACTAAGGTTATAAGTTTGGCCAGATGTAAAATATCTGAGATTCTTACATGAAAGAATTAGGTTTTTTTGAGTTGGTGGGAGAGGGGAGGATCTTGCTCTGTCATCCAGACTGGACTGCAGTCACTTGCTGCAGCCTCTTTCTCTTGGGCTCAAGCAGTCCTCCTACCTCAGCCTCCTGAGTAGTTGGGAATACAGGTGCATACCACCACACCCAGCTAATTTTTCTATCTTTTTGTACAGATGGGGTTTTGCTGTGTTGCCCAGGTTGGTACTGAACTCCTGGGCTCAAGCAGTCCTCCTGCCTCAGCCTCCCAAAGTGCTGGGATTGTAGGCATGGGCCACCATGACTGGCTGAGAACTAGTTTTAAATGGATAAAGGTGAAATAAATTATTTCGGTTGAAGAAATTGTTAGAATATTATGAGTACAAGCCTAAATAAGATGTTTATTAAAATGTACAGGGCCTTGGCCAGGTGGAGTGCCTCATGCCTGTAATCCCAGCACTTTGGGAGGCCGAGGCGGGTGGATCAGGAGGTCAGGAGATCAAGACCATTCTGGCCAACATGGTGAAACCCCATCTCTACTAAAATACAAGAAAATTAGCTGGGTATGGTGGCACACACCTGTAATCCCTGCTGCTCGGGAGACTGAGGCAGGAGAATTGCCTGAACCCGGGAGGTGGAGGTTGCAGTGAGCAGAGATTGCACCACTGGATTCCAGCCTAGCGACAGACCGAGAATCCATCTCAAAAAAAAAAGAAAAAGTACAAGGCCTTTAGTTAAGTACCAAACAACTGCTTGTAGAATACAGTACCTAGCAATATTAAAGATTGATTCTAAATCTGAAAAATTGGAAGTACATTTCTGTAGTTTTAGAACAGTTTTGAAATATGAGAAACTACCCAACTAACACACTACATTGTGTCTCATAGGACTTAAAAATTTTGAAGAAATAATTTCAATTCATGGCCTCATAAGTCAAATTTATGGCCAGGCACGGTGGCTCACGTCTGTAATCCCAGCATTTTGGGAGGCTGAGGCGGGGTGGATTACCTGAGTTCAGGGGTTCAAGACCAGCCCGACCAAGAAAGTGAACCCTTTTGTATTTTTGTAAAATACAAAAATTAGTCACGTGTGGTGGCAGGCACCTCTATTTCCAGCTACTTGCAGGAGAATTGCTTGAACCCAGGAGGTGGAGGTTGCAGTGAGCCAAAATCGCACTGCTGTACTCCAGTCTGGGCAACAGAGCAAAACTCCATCTCAAAAAAAAAAAAAAAAGTCAAAATTATGCAGCTTTAAAAAAAATTTTTTTAAATTAACTTTTAATTAATTAATTTTTTTTTAGATAGAGTCTTGCTTTGTTACTCAGGTAGTGGCGTGATCATGGCTTACTGCAACCTCTGCTTCCAGCCTCAAGACATCCTCCCACCTCAGCCTCCCAAGTAGTACGGATTGTAGGCACACACGACCATAACCGGCTAGTTTTTGTATTTTTGGTAGAAACAGGGATTCCTCATATTGCCCAGGCTAGCCTTGAACTCCCTGGTTTAAATGATCCACCCACCTTAGCCTCCCAAAATGCTGAGATTACAGGTGTGAGCCACTGCACACATCTCATGCAGCTGTTTTAAAATCTCTACTTAGAACAGTTTCAGCTGGAGGAGAAAAAAAACTATTTTCTGCCACAATAAATGATGCTCCAGCTAAGTTAGGTTAAAAAAGTCAGATTTCATTAGAATTTTGTAACAAACTTGATGTTTCTGTTATTTCTTCATTCCACTAAATGATATGGTTTGAAAATCTGCTCAGTGTTTTGAAATGGTCTCTACAACAAATTGTTACTTGTTGGGTACAGTTAAGTGCCCATTATGTAAGTACACATGGTACAAATCAATACCAGCTTATAGGATTCTGGAAATAATTAAGAGATGAATTTAGTGATCTTATATACCCTGTCAGTCAGTTGGTCATATTGTAGAAGAGCTCTACAAAACTTACTGTACTGTTAAGTCAAGATTTTCTTCCAATAACAGGAATGCTAGCCAAATATTTAATAATCAAAGACCAAAAATGGCAGTTTAATTTTTCTACCCAATATCCCTTGGCATATGAATGATCTAAATTTGAAGCTCCAAGGATAGGAAAAAGCTTACTTGTGCCTGACCTAGACAAGTACTAGAGTTTATATTGAAATCAAAACTTCTAAAAATAAAAATCAGATTAATTTTATTCATTTTTCTAACATGAGTCAATATGCTTGAAGTTTTAATTGTATTTGATAGTATCATGTAAATTTACTGTAAAAACAAAGAAGAATTTTAAAACTGCTCTATTGATTAGATTTAGGGTTGCTTTTCAATATACTCAGTAACTCTGAATTCAGTGTTAACAGTAAACTGAGCTTACATAAGATTTATTGAATTTACCTAACTTAGGGAAATATTTTCAAACTGATGTGCTTTTGGTCTGGAGTCAAATCAATTATTTTAAAAAAGATGAATGGGATTTTTTTCAGTGTGGATATGAAAAATAAAAGAAAATGATACTTATGTTTGGAAGAATTTGAATATTTGAGTCTACTTTGTCACCTGTGATTTATCACTGTATTTCTATTTTAGAATAGAAATATGTGGCTTGCAGTGTAGTTGTATTAGATAGCACTACCCTATTTGATAGTTACTCTTAAAACCAAGTTTCAGCAATCTAGACCTTACTTTTGACTTAAGGATCCATGGTGAACTGTCTTTTCTTCAGTTTAACATTGTTGTTCCATAGGCATCTTAAAATGAATAGGTCCAAAGTTGAATTTATTCATCTCTCATCATATCTGTTTTTTTTTTTTTTTTTTTTTTGAGACGGAGTTTCGCTCTTGTTACCCAGGCTGGAGTGCAATGGCGCAATCTCGGCTCACCGCAACCTCCGCCTCCTGGGTTCAAGCAATTCTCCTGCCTCAGCCTCCTGAGTAGCTGGGATTACAGGCACGCGCCACCATGCCCAGCTAATTTTTTGTATTTTTAGTAGAGACGGGGTTTCACCATGTTGACCAGGATGGTCTCGATCTCTTGACCTCGTGATCCACCCGCCTTGGCCTCCCAAAGTGCTGGGATTACAAGCGTGAGCCACCGCGCCTGGCTATCATACCTGTTTTGAGAAATGGTCCAACCATTTCCCTTGATGCTCAAATTAGAAATGTCGAAGATATTTGAAACCTTTTCTTCATCTACTTTGCCTTGTCTCTTCCACCTCTTTTCCTGTAGTTATCTTGGTTCAAGTTTCTACTTTTCTTGCTTAGAGTAATATAATAACTTTCTAACAAGTCCCTCTGCCCTCATTCTTAGCCCTTGTTAATATTATATATCCTTTATACTAAGGATTAACTATTCTAAAGTACACATTTATTCTCATGTAAATTATTGGGAAGACAGTCAGACAACAAGAAACTCAAATCACTTAAACAGATTTATAATCTTGTATAGCAAATCTGGGATGGCTACAACCTTTGCTTGAGTAGCTGAATAGTGTCATTATTGTGTTATCTGGGGTGATTTAGGTCTTTTTCTCATAATTGCAGGATGCCTGGCACAATTTCAGGGATGCTCAATGTAAGGCAACATGGCAAGGGCTGGGTCAAGCCCTGTATATTCATCAGGAAGTCAGAAGCTTTGTCAGAAGTGTTATTAAGCAGACTTATATTTCAGTGGCCTTAACTGTGTCAGCATGGCCATACTCATTGCAAGGGAAAGTTGGAATGTGAGCTTTTACCTTTCATAGCTTTTGTATTAGAAATAGGTAAGGGAGGCCGGGCGCGGTGGCTCAAGCCTGTAATCCCAGCACTTTGGGAGGCCGAGGCGGGTGGATCATGAGGTCAAGAGATCGAGACCATCCTGGTCAACATGGTGAAACCCCGTCTCTACTAAAAATACAAAAAAAAATTAGCTGGGCATGGTGGCGCGTGCCTGTAATCCCAGCTACTCAGGAGGCTGAGGCAGGAGAATTGCCTGAACCCAGGAGGCGGAGGTTGCGGTGAGCCGAGATGGCGCCATTGCACTCCAGCCTGGGTAACAAGAGCGAAACTCCGTCTCAGCCTCCTGAGTAGCTGGGATTACAGTTAGTAGGTAAGGGAGAAATAATTGGGAATGAGTGGTTGGTTAGCTGTCTATGAAGTCTAACATATTTTTCCTCTACTGAAAAGCTTTTACTGGCTCCCCACT